GTCCTCCTGACTCTTGTCCTCCTGTGTGTTGTGTCTCCGCAGGGAAGCGTCCTCACCAGTGTCAGATCTGTAAGAAGGCCTTCAAACACAAACACCATCTCATCGAGCACTCGCGCCTGCACTCCGGAGAGAAACCATACCAGTGCGACAAGTGCGGCAAGCGCTTCTCTCACTCGGGCTCGTACTCGCAGCACATGAACCACCGCTACTCCTACTGCAAGAGGGAGGCCGAGGAGCGCGAGGCGGCCGAGAGGGAGGCCAGGGACAAGGGTGGAGGAGGAGGAGGAGGGGGAGGAGGCCTGGAGCCCACCGAGCTGCTGATGAGGAGGGCCTACCTGCAGGGGCTGGGGCCGCTTGGGTACTCGGACCCCGAGGACCAGCAGGACGACGGCGGCGGCAGCGGCACAATCCTGAGGGACGGCAGCGAGGGAGGACGAGAGGAGAGGGAAGTGGACAACAAGACGTACGAGGAAGTGACAGACAGACAGGACGCAAGTTTCAGGGAAGGAGAGGAGGAAGAGGAGGAGGAAGAGGAGGAGGAAGGCGACAGCAGGAGCCAGATGGACTCGACGAGGGATGACGAGGGCAAAGACACGACGCAGCTGATGGACGAGAGTTCACGAGAAGGGAAGACAGACGGCAAGTCGGACCAGGAGGACTGATCCAGAAAAAAAAAAAAAAAGCTTTGGAACATTTGTCACGTTGGCTTCGATTCCTCCTGTTTCACAAACTACATGCTTTTATTTTGAAGGGACTGTACACAGACGATTCAGGGCACTCCAGAGGAAGTTTTATTTTATTGAGCCCAGATTAATATTTGATTTTAACTCTGTGAGATTTATTATAACAAATCAATAGTGACATAAATAAATCAGGAGTTTAACAGTCCTGTTGTTCAGGACGGACGTCAACTGGGACCGAACGTCTCAGAGACGACTTTGACTTCATTTTAACAGGAAACAGAAACACAGTGAGATTTTAGATCATCAGGTTCTATCTGTTCTGTCCAAATATGTTCTTTAATAAGTGATCAGATCTTAGTGCAGGTTCATTTTAACTGTTATGGTCTTAAAATTAAACAGGTCAGTTCTTTGTGTTGTGTTCACACCGAGTGTAAAAATAAAACAGTTTGCAAGAGTGAATTACCTGTAAAGTCAATGTGAAGACGATTAGAAGCAAATTCCCGCTGTGCAGCATGATTGATGCAATGGAAGCAACACAGTTAACGTGAAGTACGCGAATTAAGCGGTATGAATGATGTGAGTAGCGCAATTTTACATCATATGCTTATTCGCGGGAGTTGAAAAAACTGCACTTAAGCGACCAATTTGCACCACGGTAGCCAATAAGCATTAAGATCCTCCGAGGACGTACGAAGCTCAGGACGTACCGGCGGAAGTTCATTTATCGATTCAGCGGTTCCACATGCATATGATGCAAGTTATTCACACATATGAAGCCAGTTAACACAAAGTATTCTAGCAAATAGCTAGCAAAGTCACAAAAAAATCGCACTGCATTTGGTGTGAACATATTAGTCACTCTGCTGCTCTGCGAAGTCTTAGTTCAAAACATTATGAAATGTTAAATGTTAAAATCCGATTTAAAACGTTAGCTACCAGGCTACACAGCCTGCCTGCTAATATTAATGTTGTTATAAGTAACTGAAGTCACTGTGAAGACTATAGAGATAATAAATCATGTCCACTTATTGAATCTGTAAGAATTTAGTATATATTTAGATATATTCAGGTTATTAGCTGTTAGCCTTTAAACAGTTCTGATGCTAACACAGTGCTAACTGGGTCTGTTTACACAGTGATGAAGACATTCAGAGCTCAGGCGACTACTTGTTCATCGTTCTCCCTCCTCACTCACTTATTATCTTATAATGATATGAAACTAAATGTCAGGGGAGTGAACAGAGCAGAGATTAGCTGGTGTGACTGATTAGCACTAGGATGTTCCCAGCTGGCTGATGAGTTAGCGATTAGCTCTGCAGCTACAGTAGCTCACAAACCAGCCCTGTGAATCATCACTACATCTGTTCATCTAGCTATATATATTACTGATATCTGTTCAGATAGAACCTGATAATTTAAGTGTTAGGAAATGTTTCATATTAAGTTCAGCTCCAGTTTAGGCTTTAGTCACATTATAAATCGGCTCAAAACATTAATAACATTAATAATTAAAAAGTGAAACACGTGCTGCAGCTCCTCTTTGCACCCAGAATAATTTGCGTACAGTCCCTGACACGATGACCGCCAACATCTCCGTCATGAAGCTGGGTGGGATTGTTTAAAAATCCACATTATGCAAAAAATAAAAGATAAAATAAAAGAAGTAATAATGATTATCATTATAACGAAGTGAAGCTGTGTTTAATGTACAGTATTATAAAGGCCTAAAAGCTGTGTGGTGCTACAATGTTCTTAACTTCCTGTGTCTCGTTGTGTTCGAAACCCCACATCAGGAAATTGCACTCGACTCCCTGGATCACTACAAAATAAAATTTTAAAAAAGTGAATTTAAAAAAAAAAAAGAGGGAAAAAAGTCTCGAACACGCGGTCACTTCCTGTCAGTGTTATTGTTGTATTTTTTGTCTCCTTTTACTGTGACGTTTTTTTATTATTTTTATCCTGTTTTATTATTTTTGCCAACTAACCACACGATTTTGGGCCTCCTGATTTTTTTTTTTCTTTACATGAAGGAACATTTAAACCTGTGTGATTTTCAAAATAAAATGTGGATGTGAGTCTTAAAGAGGAAGAGGAAGAGGAAGGAGCGTCATATGAAAGGGCTCCGTGTTAAAAAGATAAAAAAGGACAGAGCCTTTTTTTGTGTGTTGAATTTTTTCTCCAGAGAAAGCCTTATTATGCAAACCTGTTCACCTGTGCGTTTCTGCAAAGTGCCATCCCTGTACAGTGTTCTTCATCATCACCTGTGTCCTCTCTGCTTCACTGTTCGTTACATCCTGCTTTGACTCGTCAGTATTAGCGTAGATAGATGGCAGTTTGTTAGTTTACATATGTTTGTGCAATTCCCTGTATTTTTTTGTTCCATGACAGTATTTCTTGTCAGTATTACTTTTTGTTTTTGTTGAATTTTCCAACATAAATTTCTTTTTTTTTCTTTTTGTTTTTATTTGAGAATTTACCATTTTATTTATGTGATTCATTTTATATTTCCTAATTTTATTTATTTCATACTGTAGTGTACAGTATTAGAGTTCCTCACATTAAATAGATATATTTTAGTAAAAATGATTCTGTCATTGATTATTGGAGCAAAAATGATGAACAGAGAGCGCCTGTGGTATTTGGAACATTTCAATTTATTTGTTTCATGTTTTTTCTTTGATTTCCTTTGAAACTACTGGAAATTCTAAATTTGGGGAACTTTTGATACGATGATTATTGTGAAAACACTGTATTTTTGAGAGTTAAAAAAATCCACTTTATTCATCCCACTGAAGAGGTGACGAAGGACTGATGATGATGATGATCGTGGTGTCGATGAAGGAATTCCTGAAATGTCTGAAGTATTATTACTGAATTTTGAGTTTCTCTTGGAAATGACCATGCTCGAATAAATGTAGCCAAATTAAATTTTAATAAAACTGTGTTATTCTTCTTGTAGCTCCGTCTGTTTCATTCACACACACACACACACACACACACAGACGCTGAGTGATGATGATGATGATGATGATGGCGTCTGTTTTTAGCGTCCTCATGTTACCACCACATTTCTCTTCGCTCACATCATCAGGACCAACTTCACTTTGTATCGACTCACATTTCTCTGTCTTTTTGTCAGTGATTTTTATTTAGCATCATCAGACACTGAAACATGTCGGTGTCTGAACACGTCCTGAGTCAGCGGTGCAACAGATTTTCAGCCTCCTACAATCAGAGCATTGAAAACATGACGTCATGACACACGGCACTTGATTTTCGTATTTACATAAATATGTGTAGCTTTAATCTGAATCAGTTTGTCGTCAGCAGCAGTTTCAGGTTCAGTGTGTTTGACATGTGGACGAGATGAGCTGCAGATCCACCCACCAACCCTCATCATAGTGAGGATGCATGTCTGACAGTTGTATTTTGGTATATTACTGATAGTAACATTCAAAAAATGGAAAATTGCACCACTTTTTTTTTATGTGTGTAGGTTTTTTTCAGGGGGACAGATGATGAAATTTTTAGATTAATATGAAAAATGTTATGGCAAATTAACAAATAGCTAAAATCTCACAATGATTTTTTACCACTGCTCTTCTTTATTATTAATACATGTCTGTCTGCTGATCGTAGGCGACTGTTTGTAGGGTAGAGCCCAAGATTCTGATGAAAGAAGTATCTGATACGAATAATGTACTTTTTATGAGTATCATCTGAGTAAACTGTTCATCTCTGTGTGATCTGAAGCTCAATACTGAGACTGTTCTGTTAGTAGTTTTGTAATAGATAATAGAAGTAGCAGTAGTCTGACCAGCCCACATCTAACATGCAGAGGATTGTGGGTCAGAATAGCCAGAAAAGCATGCTGGCTTACAGACTGCAAAATATGGATGGGATGTAGCAGACCATCCTGGTATTTTTGGCCCATTGCATATGACTTAATGTTACTATGTATTGGGACATACTAAATCTTTTTCTGGTGTATTATATAGTGAGGTAGTGTGGGTATTGAACCGCACAGTTGATAACAACTTCTGGTTTAGCCCCATCCATTTCTGATTTAAACACACAACAGAAATAAAACTGATAATCCATCATTAGAACTACTAGTACCAGTATTATTAGATTATATTACAAGCACTTCCGGTGTCCTGATGGACCTTTAAACATCACATATATTTGATTTAAAGAGAAGAACTAAGGAGCCAATCAGAAGCGGAGGGGGGCGGGTCTTACAGCCCCGCTCCCATCAGGCTCGGCTCATCAAGCGACGTGATGACGTAGCAGCGTGTACGTCTGCTGTCAGTTGGCGCCGGGCGGAAGATGCAGTCAGAGGTGAGTGTCACGCTGCTGTCAATGAACTGATGGTGTGAGTGAGCTCGTGCAGCCGTTTGTCCCCCGCTGAGGACTCGGTGCACCGGAGTCCCTCTGGAGACAGACGGGACAGAGCTCCGGTGCACCGGGAGGACGGTACCGGCCGTCAGCGGGGGTGACGTGGGTGTTTTGAGCGGGACGAGGAGAGCTAGTTAGCCGTTAGCTGTTAGCATTCCTGCCTGCTGTGTGTTTGGCTAACAGCTAATAGTAACTACACTCTGCAGTATTTGTACCTGTATTAAAATAATGTAACTACACTTCACAGTATTTATACCTCTATTAAAGTACTGTAACTACATTTACAGTATTTATACTTCTATTAAAGTACTGTAACTACACTTTACAGTATCTATACCTCTATTAAAGTACTGTAACTACACTTCACAGTATTTATACCTGTATTAAAGTACTGTAACTACACTTCACAATAGTACTTTTACTGCAGTTGAGTAGAGTTTAGAGTAAAATGTACATGAGTAGATAAAGGTGGTTTTATTTTGTAAACTGTAGTGATACAGTGAAAACATATATGTTCTTGTTGATATAAAATACAGTAGAAACAAAATACAATAAAAGCCTGTAAATATTAAACAGTAATAAACTCAAACCACTGATGTGTAAGTAAAAGCATCAGTAAGGTAACGAGCAGGAACATGAAGTTAGCTTTTCAAAGCAAAGGTGCAGATCTCTGTACTCTGGAGGTAAATACTGTGTGGTAGTATTGCAGTATATTTGCGAGACAGAAAATGAGTCATGTTTTAAATTGAAACTGGTCATTATGAAGCAGATTTCTAAGATTTTTCTGTCGTGGTTTCAGTAACTCATATCAGCAGCAGATCTGAGTTTTAATCTGAGGATTTGTAAACAATCTGAATCATGAAAGCTTCAGTTACTGTAGACAGTTTAACACCTTTTATTTAAAACAGATCCAATATATGAACTCTGACTCTCACTGTGTGCTGATACTGGTTTAGTGAAACTTCTGAAGTTAGTTTTTACTTGATGATGAATCATTTTATTGTGACAATGAAACTCTGTAGAACCATAAATCAGAACTTCTTCTAGGGCTGCCTTTGAATAAGATTTTTTCTAGTCGAGCAATAGTCGTCATTTAGAGCCATTAGTCAACTAGTCTCCTGCATGTTAATGATATTAATTTAGTTATTAAATGATATATTTTGGTGGTTTGAGTTGAAGGTGTGAGAAAGAATAGTATCAGTAACATTGTTAACACTGTGCTACATTACAGAGAAATACAAACCGTACTAATGAACCTTCATTAATATAGGCCTATATTTTATCTACAAGTGCACGTCACACACTGAGCGAGCCGCCTGTTAATGACGCTGTGGGCTAATGGGCATGTAGCTACTTCCATGTTTCAGATGATACGTCATGTTTGTAGTCGACCAATGAAGATGAGTTTACATATCACCTTGGGTT